AGGATGAAAATAGCTAATGTTAGACTTTTTATTTTTTGAAAATTTAATATAGAGTTCTCTTTAAAATAGGCCTAATCATTACTCTATTGACAACATAACAAGCGGTATTTGTGGCTACTGCCCAAAAGTATTTTGGTAAATTGTTTTCACAAAGCATGGTTCTAGCCATTTCTTCTAAAGTTCTATTTTTCCTCTCAACAACTCTATTTTGTTGAGGGGTTCTAGGTGCTGAAAAATTATGGCTAATACCATTAGAATTACAAAACTCAGTAAATCCAAGATTTTCAAATTCAGTACCATGATCACTCCTAACACTAGAGATGGAGTAACCTTTTTCATTTTGGATTACTTTTGAAAACATGATGAATTTTTCTAATGCTTCATCTTTAGTTCTTAGGAATAGAACCCAAGTATATCTAGAATAGTCATCTACCAAGACAAATGCATATTGTTTTCCACCCAAGCCAATAGTTCTACTTGGCCCAAAAAGATCTATATGGATAAATTATAATACTCTACTAGTGGATACATCATTAATGGACTTAAAGGAAGCTCTTCTACGTTTTCCTTTAGCACATGCATCACAGATTTTATCATCATCAAATTTTAGTTTTGGCAATCTTTGTACTAAATCTCCTTGAATTAGTCTTTGTAAAACACTCATGCTATCATGTCCTAGTCTCCTATGTCATAACCAACTATCATGCTCATCTTTAACAATTAGGCATAAATTAGTCATATTTATAGAATCTAAATGCACCATGTAAATGTTTCCTATTCTATGACCAACAAGCATAATCCGATTAGATGCAATGTCAATTACGTTACAACCATTAGTTTCAAATATGACATTGTATCCCTCATCACATAATTGACTAATACTCAATAGATTATGCTTTAATCCATTCACATATAACACATTTTTAATTTGTATGGAAGAGGTATTACCTATAGTACCTATACCTTCAATGTGACCTTTTGAATTATCACCAAAAGTCACATCTCCTCCATTTTTGTCATTTAGCTCTATGAACTGACACTTTTCTCCAGTCATGTGTCTTGAGCATCCACTATCAAGGTACCATGAGTTTGAATTTGTTTCCCGTACCTTGTAGCGACGCTCTTTTTCCTACAAACATAGATTAATTTTTTATTTTGGTACCCAAATTATTTTAGGTTCATATTCATTAGTTTCTAAAATCCTAGTCCCCTGGGTATCCATTTATGTAGGATATTCATTAGAGGTTCAATTGGGGACCTCTATGATTGTAGTTTTTTAAACTTTTTCTAACAAAGTTGGATTTTGAATTTTCTCTTTTTTCAAAACTTTTTGTTCCAACTTTATTAAAAGAAGCTTTAAGATCATCAATTTTCTTTTGATGATCATCATTCACTTTTGAAAGTAAGTTATGTAAATCAGTATTTTTCTTTTCAAATTCATCTAATTTGATTTGCAATTCTTTGACCTTACTTTCAAGATCAATGTTGGTCTTGGATATGAGTTCATTTTCTGTTTTGAACTTCAAAATATCTTTCTTGTATTTTGAAAAAAATTCTCATAATCCGAAGCCAGCCCAATATATTCTTCTATTAACTCATCAAAGAATAATCTTTAAAGTCATATGAGTTAGAGGTTACCTGAGAGCTTTCCCTGATGGCCATTAAGCACAAGTTTGCTACTTCTTGTTCGTCTTCATCAGATTGTTCACCATCACTCCATGTAGCCACGTGTGTCTTGTGCTTCTTCTTGGATTGACCATTCTTCTTCAATTGTGGCCAATCGTATTTAACATGTCTGACTTTTTGCATTCGTAGCAAATGATAGGGTCATTCTCCTTTGATTCAGTTTGAAGCCTTCATTTCTTTTGAATATCTTCCTCTGTTGGGCTTCATTAGTTTTCTGAATCGTTTGGCAAATAATGTCATTTCCTCTTCATCGTCATCTTCATCCGAATCACTCTCATCTTCTGTAGATTTGAGAGCAAATCTAACGTTTTTCTTCTTCTCCGTCTCCTTCTTTGTCTCTTCCTTCTTCTCAAGGTCTTCCTCATCTTGAATCATCATTTCGTGTGTGAGGAGGGAACCAATCAATTCATCGAGAGTTAAAGACTTTAAGTTCTTAGCCTTGATGATTGTCATCTTCTTTGATTGCCAAGCTTTTGGAAGAGAGTAAACTAACTTCCTCACAAGCTTCTCGTTTGGAATGATCTCTCCATATGATTTGAGACCATTGACAATCACGAAAAATCTATCCGTCATAGATTTGATGTATTCATTTGGTTTCATCCTGAAATTTTCATAGCTATGAGTTAGAAGACTAATTTTAGATTCTTTTACCTCGTTTGTTCCTTCGTGAATGACTTGTAGTTTATCCCATATTTCCTTGGTGGTTGTACAAGATGAAACTCTTTCGTATTCATCTGGTCCAAGAGCACAAAATATAATATGGATAGCCTTTGAGTTGAGCTGGAACATTTTTGTCTCTTCTTCACTCCACGATCTTGAATGAGTGGAAGGTATGATGTATCCGCCTTCTATGATATTCCATTCTCCCATGTCACTTGCTTGAATGAAGTATCTCATTCTATTATTCCAATAAGCATAACTAGCCCCATTGAAGAAATGAGGCTTGTTGACGGGCATTGAATCAAGAACGAAGTCAAAGTTTGAAGTGGAGGCCATTGCTGACTTGAATATCGATATAACTCCTCTCGAATCGACTCAAGAGGCAGTTAAACCTTCAAATGAGTGAGGCTCTGATACCAATTGTTGAGTTAATCGATAGACTAAATAGCCAAGAGGGGGTGAATTGACAATTAAAATTTTGGTGGAAGCTTTTTCATAAAATAGAAAATATTTGCACAGCGATTTAGAGTGGTTCGACTTTCTCAACCAAAGTTTATGTCCACTACCTTAGCTATCCACACTAAGGATTTTCTAACAAATTCACTAATTTGTTCTTTCTTTTGAGGATAAAGATTAACCTTACAACTCTCTCAAGAATTAAACCCCAAATTATTGAGAACATTATCTCTCAAAGAGAAATACACAAATTTGCAAACTTACAGAAAAACGTCTCTTGGCAAGATGTTTGCACAATTCTATAGCAAAGAAAGAACACTCAAAGATAAATACAATAGAGCAAAAATGGTGTTCTTGAAAGCAAAATGAATATTCAATGGAAAATAGGCTTGAATTGCTCAAACTTGATGTTTAAGGCTTTCTCTTTGTTTCTCTCACAATTGTTGTTGATTAATGGCTCCTCGGCTTGTTTAAATACACTTGGATCACTTCTGAACGTTGAGGATCATTGGTGAACTCAATAGAGCTGTTATGGTGTGAATACCATTTAAAAAATCTGTTGGGAGCGTGTGTGTATCAATACACTCTCAAGGTGTATCGGTACACTGTGTGTAAAATTCAAATATTTCGACCGTTATATGATCGAGTGTATTGGTACACTAATTACATTCAATGTTTTAATAAAGCCAGGAGTGTATCGATGCATTGGATGTGTATCGGTACACAAAATGCATTCGATGTTTGGTATGTACCGATACATTCAAGAGTGTATCGGTACATCCCTATGTAAAAATCATTTTTTGCTCGATTAAGATTCGAAATACTTTGTAAAAATTGTTTCAAAAATATTTTAAGTTTAAAACACAATTTTACACTTTAGTAAGGATTTAAATTAACCTTTGAAAAACTTAAAGTAATATTTTGATATTCGAATAATTTAATTTAATATACTTTAAAAATGATTATAAAATCTTAAAATTCAATAACACCCAATTTGTTATATCGAAACATCAAAATGTTTTCAACACTCGACGAAGAGGGAAATATATCCCAAAATCCGAGCAAACCAAAAAACGAGGGGAACAAGCCCATATTTTTCGGCCAATAGCCACCGACGAATGGCTATATATGCCCCAACAGAAAAGAGGAAGCGATACTACACAACAAAAAATGAGAATCAATCAAGAATAACATTTGAAAACATTAAAGAAAAATAGAAAAAAAATCAATGCTTGCATTGGTTTTGGCTCGAGAGAAGAGGGATCGCCGGGAAAGCGAAAAATTATTGTTGAAAAAGGTAAAGTTTCGATCTTTGCATTTAAATCTACGCTGGTGGGGGTATTTGTAGGGGGTTTAGGCCTAGATTTTAAGTTTACGAGGACAAGAGGAATGTTTTAGGTCAATTAGGTTTTTTTCGATCACCGGTGGCGGTGGTTGGAGCGATGGTCGATGGTGGTCCGACCAACGGGTGGTCACCGGTGGGTGGCCGATTTTCGACTGACTAGGGGAGAAGTTGAGAGAAAATCAAAAGAGGGGAGAGTGTTTTGAGAAATATAAGGGGAAATGATTTTTTTTTAGTTTTGAGGGCTATTTATAAGGAGGGCTATTTATAGGGTGGACTATTGTGCAATTACGAAATAGTTAAATTATTTTCGTAGTCCCTAGTTTTGATGTGTAATTCATTTTGGTTACTTATTGTAATTTTGTCCTTGAATTTTGAATTAATTCAATTTAATCCCTATTTATATATTTTATATTTTTGCAATTAAACCCCTTTGCAGCTCACTTTAGCATCAATCTGACCATTGAATTTCGATTTATTTAAGTATAATTCATTTTAATTTTTAATTTAACATCTTTAATTTATTTCTTTTTATATTTTTTATTTAACCTTTTCTTATCTAACAATAATATTTTTAGGTTATTCTAAAACTAATCAAAAGTAAGTAATTTGGATCAAATATTTTAATTTTAATTTTTGCAATTAATACAATCGAAAAATCAAATTAGTACCGAAAGAACAATACAAAGTGTTAATAAAACAATACTCTATAGTCGATACATCATATTATGCACTTTACCCTTTCAAAATACACTCAAATATTAATAAAAGACAAGGTGTTTTAGTCATTTAAAGATAGGATTATAAAAAAACCTAGCTATAAATTAATAGCAGCCGATTCATCATCTTCCCTTTGAAGCTCAGAGTCGTTGGAGGCGAAAATCATCAGATCTAGCTCTATATTTCTCTCATCTAAGCCATGGTATGTCTCTATTCGCATCTATTCAGCTATCCAACATAAGATCAATCTTGTTTGGCTTCCGATAGAAAATACATTTTTGATTTATGGTTTTATTTTTCTCGGTTGGAACTGTTTACTTTGCACTAGCTTTTCTTGTGTTTCTGTGCTGGAAAAACTGAATCAAAATATACTTGCAAATGTGCAGTTCTCACTTATGTACTTGGAATCGAAAACTTCAAATTGAAACCTTTTACCAATTAGATTAGATTTAACCTTGCTTTATCACCTTGGGGACTTTCTTTTTAGGCTTTGTTTCCATAGTAGATTCTTATATTTACATAGGTGCAAAGAAGATAACTGATCTGTTCATTGATTTTATGCTGTTTTCTAGTCAAGGAGAAAGGTTAGGGAGCCCAAGGAGGAGAATGCTACCCTTGGACCTGCTGTTCGAGAGGGCGAGTATGTTTTCGGAGTGGCTCACATTTTTGCTTCATTTAACGACACATTTATTGTAAGCGATAACCTAAATTATTTACATTGTTCTTTTTTCTTGTAGTTTATCCTGTATAACATGCTATTTTGATTTTCAGCATGTGACTGATTTGTCTGGAAGGGAAACAATGGTTCGCATCACTGGTATGGTTTATGATTATCTTTAGAAAATGGGTTCTTTTCCTATCTTGGGTGTTTGGTGGCGAATTATGTTACAACATGTGTTGATAATCATGCATGAGGTTGGAATACTTCCATGAATAGTACTTTTTCCGATCTTATTCCTCTCGTTTTTCAAATCTAGGTGGCATGAAGGTGAAAGCCGATAGAGACGAGTCTTCCCCTTATGCTGCCATGCTTGCAGCCCAAGATGTTTCTCAACGCTGCAAGGTCTAATTTATTACCGGTTGACTTGTGGCGTAGCACATGTTTTATAAATGGTGAACTTATATGCCTATTTGTATTTGTTTTATTGCAGGAGTTGGGTATTACTGCCCTTCATATAAAGCTAAGAGCAACTGGAGGGAACAAGACCAAGACACCTGGTCCTGGTGCGCAGTCTGCACTTAGAGCCCTTGCTCGTTCAGGCATGAAAATTGGACGCATAGGTACAGAGTTCTTTCATTCTTTTGTTTCTCGAGTTTCCAATCGGTCCATTCATTTCAACTCTTATAAACTGAGTTGAAACCTTTTGACCTCAGAGGATGTTACCCCAATTCCCACTGACAGTACTCGTAGAAAGGGTGGTAGACGTGGAAGAAGGCTGTGATTCGTTGCTTCATATCTATTACTCACTGCTGCTGCCGTGGTATGCTCAGAATTTCTGTTTTAAACAATTTTCGGTTTAGATTCAAGCTTGTTTCGCTCTTTTCTATTGTTGGACAATAGTTCTGTAGTGGATTTTGATGGTAATTTGTAGACAAAAGTTATGGAACTCTTTTAAGTTGAGCTTATATTGTTTCTGATTTTGTTTATCAAATGTTGTTATGGCATACGAGAATTCCCTTCGTCAACACTCATCATTCTTCCCATTAACACGGCACACCATATACATTCAATCTTATTCATTAATTTAGATGCAGCAAGCACTTAAAATGTATTCTTCTTGGTAAATGACTTATAGTTTAAGCTTATCGATGAAGGATTTACTGTCCAGTGCTTTGCTATAGAAGTTATCATGAAATTCATCCTCGGTGAAACGACGATAGCGAAGCGGTTTCTCGGCTGACACCAACTCCGGTAAAGGTCCATACTCAGTTTCTTCCCATTTCCCTATGCTCAGAAACTCAACCACTGAGATTCGTGGCTCTTCACATGAATTAGCTAGAACTCGATGCTGAATGCTGTTGTATTCATCATTGGAAAATATCTGTTTTCGCATTGAAATAATGAAAACACAACCCATCAGTTCAAACATACAAGGCTATATAAAAATAATTATTTAATTATACCATTTCCGTCTAAATTTTTTTAAGTCAATCTAAGTGGCTAACATTACAAATGTTATCATTTTAAGTATCTTGATCGTAACGGATATTAAATTTCATAATTAAGTGACACGTATCAGTTTTGAAAATTTTATTTTAAAAATATAAAATTTTTGAAAATTTTAAAAATCTACCCAAAACTTTGGAAAACCTAAATCTAATCCTTATACCCACGTCTGCCACTACCATTGTCGTCGATCGACCTCTACCTGATTGCACCTCCATCAACGATCAGTTACTTACAGTAAGGGTGACCATCTCGACTCCATGCGACTCCACTTGGCTTAAATTACGACTAAATTGTGAACGTCCGTCGCTCTAAATCGTGACTCCACGGGGCGTTGACGATCAATTCCATGGCAAGGAAGATGTCGTCTGACTAGGGAGATGACAAAGACGGTGTCAGCGGCGATGATTAGCAAGGGAGGTAAGATTAGGGTTAGGATTAGAGAATTGAGATTTTTAGGGCTTTTGATTTTTTTTTGTTTTGTTTGTAATTTTAGATAAATTGTTTTTATAAATATAATAATTTCTTTAATTTTTTTAAAATTACCATAACGAGACACATGTCACTTAACAAATTTTTTAACGGTCAGCCGAGGAACCTAAGGTTGTAACGTTAGACACGTGAATTGGTCGAAAAAAGGTTTAAGTACCATTTTGAAAAAAAATATAGTTCAGGTACTTATTTTTATATGAAGCCAAACTATAATGAACTTGTTGAAGCATATAGCAACTTACCTGCATCAGGTCGGCGATATTGATTATCAATGCTCCAGGAAGGGGGTTCACATCAATCCACTCTTCTCCATGTTTGACCTGCAACCCTGGAACTTGATTCTGAAGCAAAACTGTTATACCACCTGGATCTGTATGCGAGGTGAGCCCTAGTGTGAGATCAGGTTGAGGACAATATGGATAATAGACTCCCACAAACAGCCTTCCAGTAGAAAGCCCCAAGTCCTTAAACTTGCTTGATTCTAATCCTATCCCTTCACATAACAGCTCCATCAAATCTTCAGCCACTTTTTTAGCACAAACATCCCATTCAAGCGACCGTTTTCTCAGTGCTTCTGGTATATCTTCCAGCTTTGGACGTCGATCTTCCGGTGCCATCCAAACCTGGAGATAATCGTGCCAGGTAGCTGCCTTGGAACGATAAAGATCATTGTTGCTCGAATAAACCACGGCTTTCATCTCTTCACGGGAATAATACTTTGCCTTGGTTTCTGCTGGCTGTTGGTGGAATGATTTGACTGCTTGAATCGTTTCCTCCAACACTGTTCCAGGGATTCCATGGTTGATTACTTGGAAAAACCCCCATTCATTTGCAGCTTTTCTTATTTCCTCGACAATTGTGGGACGATGAGCCTCCGAGTTTATGTTTTCCAGGTCGATTACCGGGATGTTTCCGGCGTTGGGTTGAGAAGGGCTGAGAGAGGCGAGAGTTTCAGGTGGTTGAACAAATATTTTGGGAATGGAAGCAATTCCGGAATCTATCAACCCCTTCACTCCATGTTTGGACTGATCAAATTCCTTGATACCTTTCATCCGATCACAATCTGAAGAAAAACCAGTGCTAGCTGCCATTTTCTTGAATCTATGAGCTCTCAAGGATTTCGTTTTCGTTAACTTTGTATGACTTCTTGTTGATTTAATGAATGAAGAAGATATTGGCAATTCTGAGCCACACTAATATTATATGTTGTGTACCAATAACTAAGGGTTGAAGAATCGCCATCATATCTCTCAAAATCTGATTTGGATTGACAAGTCAATACCAACAACTCATTCAAAATAATATTATATGTTAAGACCATAAGTGAATATTTTTAACAAATAGATTTTTAGAATTTGGAGAGGGATTCATTTTGCATTCCTTGAGTATATAGAATTTTAACAAATAGATTTTTAGAATTTTTATATTTTTCAAATTTTCTATATTTTTGTCGAGACAACTTTCTATTGGCTAAGAGACCGAGTTGAGGGATCCAGATATCGTGCAGAAACGAGTGGATGACCCGATTAATTGAGTGGTCAATTTATATTTTTAATAATTGAGTGACAAAAAAATTACATAAAATTAAGTGGTTACGAATGTAATTTATCTAAATTTAATCATTTTAAATAATATAAAATTTATTAGTTTTATTTTATTTTTATTAATCTAGGGTGATTTACAAAAAGTAGTATATGTTTTAAAGATTTTCAATCATTTGACAATTAAAATTTAAATACCCTTGCACTCTCCGATACTCGAACCTAAAACTTTTAAGGATAACAACTATGTATTTAACCACTAAAATAATTTAGCTCGTGCAGTTTTACCTTAAGATAAATAAGCTATGTCTATCTATATTGTTAAATTTTTAATTAAGTTGATCTCATCATCGGTTAATCAAATGTCTAATCAATTGAAATACTAAATACACTTCATTAATATGAAAAAAAACATAAATTAAACACACTTCATTAAAAGAGAAAATTCTACCACAAGTTACTCTATTATTTGCAATTTTACAATTGGATCACTATATTTTAAAAATTCATAATCGAGTCACTCAATTAATTGATTGTAACAATTATGTCATTAAATCTCAAAAGAATGTTTGACATGTAAATTTTTATTCATGCAATATCCATATATTTCAAAAGTTACAATCAAGTCCCTTAATTAATTGATTGTAACAATCAATTCATGTGTAATATAAAATATATCTATTTACGATGGCCGACCGGTGAACATCAAATTTCATCATAAGATTACCTAAATCAACTAGTTTGGTTCATCAAATTAGATTATCAAAACTTGAGAGTCTCTCTCAAAAACCATAAAATCGTCCCAAAACTTTCAAATTTATTGAACCATAATCTACATAATTCATTGTCAAATAACATTCTTCTTGGAATATGTTCATTCTCTCACCAACGATAACCCATCCTCCATAATTCAGATTTTCAAATGGAGCCCTCGATTTTTGAAGAACATAAAAAAACAACAAAATTAATTAAGTGACTTGATTGTAAGTTTTTGGAATATGATGACCAATTTACAAAATTATTAATAATAGAGTGACCTATGGTGTAATTTACCCAATGAAATCATTTAAAAATGTTTCTAACATTACCTTTTAATTTTCATTTGAGATTTAATAACCCAATGACCATGATTATTACAACCAGTTAATTGAGTGACTAAGTTGTAACTTTTTGAAATATGATGAACTTACTAATAATATAGTGACGTGTGGTATATTTTACCCTCGTTATAAATAATTGTTGAACTATGTTTTATAATATTTTGATATGAAAAATTAAGGCAAAATGTTTTTGGACTTGATTGAATTTGTTCAAAGTTTTAAAAAATAATTCAAAGTCCATTAACCTATAATTTGAGCACAAAACAATTTTCTAAGTATGTAGTACCGATATTGTTCTTACAATATCGATACTATATGAACAATATCGATATTGTTCATGTGGTACCGATACCAAAGGTAAGAGAAGTATCGATACTCTCTAGGTAGTATCGATACTACCAGGTGCTTTCCAAATTGCTCAAATTCCAGAATTCAAAATAGGTACCGATTCTCAATGGGGTACCGATACTACTTTACACTGTAGTATCGATACCATGAGTATAATATCGATCTGGTCAAGCCTAACGATCTTTAACGGCTAGTTTATTTAAATATTACAAATGTAGTACTGATACTCATTAAAGGAGCACCGATACTCCCTGTCCTAGGCAATTTTATTTTGCAGAAAATTAATCTCTAACGGCTCCAAAACATCCCCAACGGCTAGAAACGCCCATAATCTCATTCCAACATATAAAAACAAGTTGAGACACTTGAAGAAGGGTTAGAATGCCTATCCAAGAAATCAAACACAAGAGAAGAGCTTTTCATTTCTATTTTCATTTCTCTTGTAAATTTTAGTGTTTTTGAGCTCACTGCAAATCTTTTATTTTTTTTCTTGTGAGCTTTAATCTTTGTAAACACCTTCCTTTTGAGAGGTTTTCATGTTTACATCTTTATTCCTTTTGTAAAGGGGATTGGTTCTAGCTTAGCCTTTGAAAAGCTAGGGAGTTGTAAAGGTTATCTCTTGATCATGTAAAAAGAAAGAACAAATTAGTGAATTTGATAGAAAATCTTAGTGAGGAGCTAAGGTAGTGGATGTAGACTTTGTTGAGAAGTTGAACCACTATAAATCCTTATGCAAATTGTCTAACTCTTTATACTCCTTACTCCCTAAACTCAAAAAGCAATTCCCCCTCTTGGAAAATTATTCGGTTGTTCAATTGAGCTTCACCGAAATCCCAACAATTCGTATCATAGCTTAAATCATTAGAAGATCTAACAACCTTGAGACGATCCTTGAAGAAGCTCTATTTATTTTCGACACAATCGAGAATATGACTTCCACCTCCGGCTCATTTCACATGGAAGACTCCCAACCGATTGACAAGCCTCCATACTTCAATGGAGCCAACTACCGTCATTGGAAGAAATTAATGAAGCTATTCATCAAATCTAATGATCTTGATGTATGGGAGATGATCGAGAATGATTACTCTTCACCAAAGAATAAGATGAAGGAGTGGAGTGCTAAGAACGGAAGAAAACTCAACAAAATGCTAAGGCCATGTACATGTTGTTTTGTGCATTTGTTCCGATGTCCATGAAGGAGTTTCTTATTGTTCAAATGCCAAGGAGCTTTGGAATAAGCTCGAAGAGATACATGGAAACAAGAAAGAAGAATCAACAAAGGTGGTGTGCTTAATGGGTCTTGAAGAGCCCGAGGTATCTTATAACTCTAGTGAATTAATTCATATTCTTTTAATGAGTTACAATATGCATATGATGAATTATTTTTGGAGTTTGAGGCCAGGAACTCCAAATACAAGAAAATGATTTCAAAACTTAAAGTTGAAAAAAAATTCTTTTGAAAGAAAAAGTTGATTTTGAAAAACAAAATGAAATTTTGAAAAAAGATTTAGAGCTTTCAAAAATGAAAATTAAATTTTTTGAAAAAGAATGTTTTGATTTAAAGGTTAAGATTGAATGCTTAACAAAAGAAAAGAAAATCATTTTAAATAATTCATCTAATTTCATAATGACAAAATGCTCACATTGCCATTATCATGGTCACAATGAACATACTTGTCCTTTAAAGAAATGAAAACGTTTTAAAATTAAACAAGTATGGATTCCTAAAGGAACAAGGGGCATTGAAACTAACGTTCAAGGATCCAAAGCAATTTGGATACCAAAATCCAAATAAATGTCTCTTGTAGGTGTGTGTGAGCAATTGTGATGAAAGTGAGGATATTCAAATGCTCTAGCCACACTTGATGGGTAACCTCTAAGCTTATTTTGATTATCTTGCATAATTTGTAGCTCATTTAGTTTAAGCATGCATGATTTTTTATTTTAAATAATTTTATGTTTTTCATCTCATGTATGTTGAAAAGTGTATTATGATGGAAATTTTAAAGTTTTTATGATTTTTCATAATTTTTAGTCCATCATAATGAATTTTGGTCAAAATTGTTTTAAATGCTTCGTTTTTACACATTTTAATTTTTGACCTTAATTTAAATGTTTATGCAAGTGATTTATTGCAAATGATATCACTCTAACAATTGGTATCAATTTTTCAAATGCATAACATTTTGGATAGCTTTATGCACATGCACTTAAATACAAATATTGGTATTGTATAAAGTATATTAGACTTGGATATATTGAATTTCATGTGCTACTAACATGTTTGTTCATCTTTGTTGAAATTCAATTTTTCAAGTTCATGCTTTTAACGTCCAATTTTTGTTTGGAATGCATTTATAGAGGGGGAGCTTTGATTTTTCAAATGATTTTATGCTAACATTTACCACTTAATCTCTATTGTTATTTTTGAACTTTAAAATTGAATTATTTTTTATCTAACAAAAGGGGGGAGAAGTATGAGTTTGAAAAATTCAATTTCAAGAATGAAAAAGGGGGGCTTTAATATTTTCGAAAATATGTCTCTTTTTTCATTAAATGTTTTATTAAGGGGAAGTTTTTGCCAAAAACTATTTTTTAAATGTTTTGTTATATCAAAAAGTAGGAGATTATTGAACTATGTTTTATAATATTTTGATATAACAAATTAAGGAAAAATGTTTTTGGACTTGATTTAATTTGTTCAAAGTTTTCAAAAATTAATAGAATTTGATATAATACCTTACAATAGCGATACTATATGAATAGTATCGATATTGTTCATGCGGTACCGATACCAAAGGAAAGAGAAGTATCGATACTCTCTAGGTAGCATCGATACTACCAGGTGTTTTCCAAATTGCTCAAATTCTAGAATGCAAAATAAGTACCAAAACTACTCTACACAGTAGTATCGATACTATGAGCATAGTATCGATACTGGTCACGCCCAATAGTTTTTAACGACTAGTTTATTTAAATATTACAAAGGTAGTACCGATACTCATTAAAGGAGTACCGATACTCCCTGTCCTGGGCAATTTTATTTTGCAGAAAATTAACCCGCAACGGCTCCAAAACATCCCCAACGGCTAGAAACGACCACAATCTCATTCCAACATATAAAACCAAGTTGAAGACACTTGAAGAAGGGTTACAACA